ATACCCTTGTACTCTCTCTATTCAACACTTCTTCAGTTCTAAGATGGTATCAGCAGTAGGTAGGTCCCACCGCCCCCCCCACGCTTCCGCCCTAGGATCTACCCCGTGCGTCGCGCCCCCTAGGCCCCGTCGCGTCACCTAGGACCAGTCGCGCCCCCCCTCCCGTCGCGCCCCCCTGGGTCCCGTCGCGTCACCTAGGACCAGTCGCGCCCCCCCTGGGCCCCGTCACGCCCCCCCCTGGGCCCCGTCACGCCCCCCTGGGCCCCGTCGCGCCCCCTGGGCCCCGTCACGCTCCCCTGGGCCCCGTCGCGCCCCCTGGGCCCGTCACGCTCCCCTGGGCCCCGTCGCGCCCCCTGGGCCCCGTCACGCTCCCCTGGGCCCGTCGCGCCCCCTAGCACCCGTCACGCCCCTCCTGGGCCCCCCGTTGGTGCCTCCTGGCCCTGTCGCGCGACTCCTAGCCCGTCGCGCCTTACCTAGCCCGTCGCGCCTTTCCTAGCCCGTCGCGCTTCCTAGTCCGTCGCTCCAGCCCCGCGACCGTCGCCCCATCCCAGCCGGCCCGCGACCGTCCCAGCCGGCCCCGCGACCGTCCCAGCCGGCCCGCGCCGTCCCAGCCGGCCCCGCGACCGTCCCAGCCGGCCCCGCGACCGTCCCAGCCGGCCCCGCACGCGACGTCCCAGCCGGCCCCGCGCCCGTCCCAGCCGGCCCCCACGGCCCGTCCCAGCCGCCCCGCCCGTCCCAGCCGGCCCCCGCGCGGCGCCGTCCCAGCCGGCCCCGCGCCCGTCCCAGCCGGCCCCGCGCCGTCCCAGCCGGCCCCGCGCCGTCCAGCCGGCCCCGCGCCCGTCCCAGCCCGGCCCCGGCGACCGTCCGCAGACCCGCATCGTCCCAGCCGCCCGCGATCGTCCCAGCCAGCCCCGCGACCGTCCCAGCCGGCCCCTCGTGCCCGTCCAGGCCGCCCCTGCACCCGTCCCCCAGCCCCCCGCGCCTGTCCAGCAGGCCCGCGCCCGTCCCAGCCGGCCCCGCGCGCCTGTCCCAGCCGGCCCCGCGCCCGTTCCAGCCGGCCCCGCGCCCGTCCCTGCCGGGTCCGCCGCCCGTCCGAGCCGGGCTCCCGCGCTTGTCCCGGCCGGGCCCCGCGTCAACCTTCCGGCCCTTCCTCGCCGGCCCTACGACCGTCCGATCTGCACTCTCCCTGGTACGGTTCTCCACCACCTTTCACCGCACTGTACCGCACTGCACCGCACCGCCCTGCACTGCCCTGCATCGCACTGCCTTCGCCTTGCACCGCCCTGCACCGTACTGCACTGCCCTGCTCTGCACTGCACCGCACTGTACAGTCCTGCACTGCCCCTGATGGCGGCGGAGCTTCGCTTCGACGCTGAAGGCCAGCCTCTGGAGTTCGAGGCGTGGCTTGCCGACCTCCGGCGTCAACTCACTGGCCAGCGGCAGGATGGTGAACCGCTTTCCGCACACCTTGACGGTACGCTCCCCTGCCCAGACCCCCCTGCTGTTCTGCCCGCTGACTCCGCACCCACTGAGCGCGGACTCTACTGCTGCCACTGCCCGTGCGCGCTCTGTCTGGCTTTCTCGAGATGCTGTCGCTCAGCTTGCCATTAGCAATGCCCTTCCCCGTCCGAGCGCCCCCGCTTTAGGTCCCTCACTACTGCCCAGGCTTACTTAGATGCTGTCATCAATTGCTATTCCACCCCTCCAGCTGCCTCGGTGGGTCGCCTGATCCTCCCGATGCTCTTTCCTGACCTTGCGTCTTTCCGCACTGTCTCTGACCTCGCTGCCCACCTACGCTCGATAGATGAGACCTGGCGCGCTGCCTGCACTGACGCACAGCTTAGAGCCCACCAGCCGCCCATTACCTCTACCCTTTACCTGCTTGCCACCCGCCTCCCTGACCGCCTTGCTGTCGCCAGCGACCGCTTCCTTAGCATTCACCCCGCAGACCTCACCCTCACTGACTTTGTAGACACCCTGACTGTGATTGAGACCCCGCCACCGCTCCATCGCCCAGGCGAGCGGTACCGTGCCGGTCCCTATCTTTCAGGGTTGTGCCCCCGCTCAGTGTACTTCTCCGACGGCTCTGCCGCTGTGGCTGAGACTGCTGCTGCAGCGCAGTTTCGTTCGGGGAAGGGCCGCCGCCCCAAGGTTGGGCGCGGCGGAGGAGGCGGGGGTGCGGGAGGGGGTGGTGGTGGAGTCGGGTCGTCTGGTGCTGGAGCGGACGAGGGGACCCTGCCCAGTCCAGCTGAGCCGCCGCCCTGCAGTCGCAGGCAGCAGCAGCCGCAGCAGCCGCCGCAGTCGCAGCAGCCGCAGCCTTCGCAGCAGCCGCAGCAGCCGCGCAGACGGGCAGACGAGTGTCCTCCCGCCTGGGGCCGGCGCGCTGGCGTGGTCGGGCGCGTGGTGTGTACCAGATCCAGACCGGTCCTCGCCGCGGCTTCGTTTGCGGTAAGATCGGTCACTCCACTCCCCGCTGTTTTCGTCGCCTGGACGACCTGTTTCGTCAGCGCTTCGGCCCGTCGCCAGACCTCCCGGACTGGCACAGTTTGCTTAGTCGTAAGATTCAGGTTTTTGACATGGACATGGATGCCATTGTTTCTGTTCTGCATGTGATGTATGCTGATGACTCTAGTGTGCTTCCCGCTTATTACTCACAGTCGGCTAGTGTAGGTGTGCCTAGCTTAGCCCTCCCCTGCTGCGTCAGGCGTAGGATCCCCTGCTTTGTGTAGTCTTGGTGCTTCCGCCGTCGTTCCGTCGCCAGACGCCTCTGCTTCGCTTTCCTTCACCTTGGACTCTGACGCTTCCCGGTGTTTCTTCTACGACTTCACCACACTGATGCCGCTTCCTGTTCCTGCTGCCGTTTCTCTTGCTGACCCCTCCGGCAGTCCGGTAGTCGCCCGTAGTTCCACCACCCTTCCCTGTCCGGCGGTTCCTTCGGGCACTCTCACAGGTCTGCATATCCCCTCGTTCTCCAGGAACCTAGTTGGTGTCGGCTGCCTCCAAGCCCTTGGCGTCACCACTACGTTCCCTGGTCACGAGTGGTATGCTGTCTGTACCGAGGCCGCCACCGGTGCCCCCCTGTCCACGTTCCCCCGGGACCCAGTGTCCGGCATGTTCACTCTGGACACCGTGACCCCCCCGGCTGGGGCGCTCCCTCAGGTGGCTGCGTCTACCCTGGTTGCTGCTGCCTACTCCTGTCGGTCCCTCACTCACCCGACTCTCCTTTGGCACCACCGCCTAGGTCACCCTGCGCTCCTGCGTCTGCGTCACATGTCCCAGCACGGTCTTGTCCTTGGTCTCCCAGGTTCTCTCCCCGCGTTTCCCTCCTCCCCAGCCCCACCTTGCAGGCCTTGTGTCGAGGGTCGGCTTCGCCGTGCCCCTCACTCCTCCTCGTTTCCCCCTACCACCGCGCCGCTGTAGACACTGCACCTGGACGTCTGGGGCCCGCCCCCGTCCCTGGGCCGCGTCGCGAGCGCTACTTCCTTGTGCTTGTCGACGACTTTACTCGTTACACCACAGTCTTTCCCCTGGAGCGCAAGGCCGACGTGCCTGGCGCTCTCATCCCCTGGCTTGTCTTTGCGCGTGTCCACCGCGGTCTCCCTGTCTTGCGTCTTCACTCCAACCGTGGTGGCGAGTTTGCCTCAGGTGTCCTTGGTCGCTTTTGTCGTGCGGAGGGCATCTCCTAGACGTTCACCCTACCGGACTCCCCACAGCAGAATGGGGTCGCTGAGCGACGCATCGGTTTGGTCATGGAGGTGGCTCGCACCTCCATGATCCATGCCGGTGCACCCCATTTTCTGTGGCCGTTCGCTGTGCGCTACGCTTCTCACCAGCTTATCCTGTGGCCGCACCCTCAGCAGCCGCAGGTTTCGCCGATCCGTCTTTGGACTGGGTCTCCTGGTAACGCGTCTGCGTTCCACGTCTGGGGCTGCCTTGCTCACGTCCGTGCCTCCGGCACGGACAAGCTCACTGCCCGCACCCTTCCATGCGTCTTCCTCGGCTTTCCCCTTGACGCGTCTGACTGGCACTTTTACCACCCGCCGTCTCACCGCTTCTTTCACTCTCGCGACGTCACCTTTGACGAGTCCGTCTCCTACTATCGTCGCTTCCCCCACCGCGGTTCCCCGGTTGCCCCCCCCCTGTTCCTGGTCACTCCTTCCCCGGTAGTCCCTGCCCCTCCCCCTCCTCCTCCCCATCCTGCCCCCTCTGGTGTATCCCACGTCACCCCCCTTCCGTCGGTGGACCCGGTTGAGGAGTCTTCTGACTCTGGTGGCCCTGCTGCGCAGTCCTCGCCGGCCGCCCCTCCCCCGTCGTCCCCTCCCCAGTCCCCTCCTCCACCGCCTCTGCCGCCGCTGCAGCCGTCGTTGTCGCTGCCGCCGCCGCCGTCGCAGCACCCGTTCGTTGACTCTGGGGGTGCTAGTCCCGGTAGCCCTTGGGGTGGATCCTCTGGGGGTGCTGGTGTGGAGTGTGCCGGTGGTAGCCGCGGAGCCGCTTGCAGTCCCGGTGTCGCCGTTGTGCCGCCGCAGCAGCAGTCCCCGCCGGTATCAGCCCTTCGCCTGCTCGGCCTTCTGTCCCCTGACCCTGCGGCTGTTCCTCTCCGACCGTCTCCTCCTCTTCCCGTCTACGGCCCTGTGTTCCCTCCGCCGGACTCGTCCCCGGCCCGTCTTCCTCCTCGTTCCCCTCCTGTGTCCCCTCCCCTGTCTCTTGACCCAACTCCTCCGTCGCACGTCTGGTCTCACCGTCCCTCCCGTGCTCGTCCTGCCTCGCCTGTCTTGCGCTCCCACCCTATGTTGCTTCGTTCCCACGCGTCTCGTCCTCCCCTTCTCCCGTCGCCTCCTCCGTCCTCCCTTGTTGTTGCACCCCCCCCGCTGTCTGACTACCTCCGTGCCGCTCGTCCTCTTGTTCCTCGGGTCCTTGCCTCTCTCGTTACCGACCCGTCTGTTCCGGTCTCGTGCCTTGATGCTCTTGTTGCTGCGGTCGCTGACTTCGCCTCTACCCGCCGCCTTGACTATGCCACCGCTCTGGTCTCTGACCCTGCCTGTCCTCCGTCTGTCGGGGGTGCTCCTGCCCTTGGCAGTGACGTCCTGGAGGACCGCCAGTTCGAGCTTGCTTTCCTGTCCGAGGCTGCTCCCCATCTCTGTTCCATGCTGCTAGTCCCTGAGGGTGACCCAGACGCTTTCGACATCCCGACCCCTCGCACTTACGCTGAGGCGACCTCGGGACCTTGGGCCTCTCAGTGGATAGCTGCCATGGAGCAGGAGATGGCATCTTGGAGATCCACCGGCACCTTCGTCGACGCAGTTCCCCCGCCTGGGATGAACGTAGTCGATGGCCGCTGGCTCTTCAAGGTGAAGCGCCCTCCTGGAGAGCCGCCTGTGTTCAAGGCGCGCTACGTGGCTAGAGGCTTCAGTCAGCGTGAGGGGGTGGACTTCTTCCAGACCTTCGCTCCGACCCCGAAGATGACTACTCTTCGGGTTCTGTTACACCTAGCTGCTCAGCGTGACTACGAGCTTCACTCCCTCGACTTCTCCACTGCCTTCCTTCAGGGCAGCCTACACGAGCAGGTCTACTTGCGTCGCCCTCAGGGCTTTACTGGCACCTTCCCTCCTGGGACCCAGTGGCTCCTGCGGCGCCCTGTCTACGGCCTGCGCCAGGCTCCCCGTGAGTGGCACGACACTCTTCGTGCTACGCTTGCTGACCTGCAGTTCTTTCCGTCTTCCGCAGACCCCTCACTCTTCGTTCGTGCTGGCCAGACTCCGTTCTACATCCTTGTTTATGTCGACGACCTGGTCTTTGCCACAGCAGACAGGGACGCACTAGCCTCCGTGAAGGCAGAGCTGCTGAAGAGACACACGTGCACTGACCTTGGAGAACTGCGCCGTTACCTTGGCTTGCAGATCTCCGGGGACAGAGCTGCGCGCACCATCACCCTGACTCAGTCACACTTGGTGCGCCAGGTCCTTCAGAGGTTCAGCCTTCAGTTCTCCTCTGCACAGCCCATCCCTCTGCCTGTAGACCACAGACTCTCCGCTCCAGTGTCTGAGGAGTCGGTAGAGCCCAGTGGTCCTTACGCAGAGCTAGTGGGTTGCCTCATGTACCTGATGACTTGCACTCGCCCAGATCTCGCATACCCTCTCAGCATCCTGGCTCGTTTCGTGGCCACAAGCAGACACGGACCTCAGCACTGGTCTGCCGCTAAGAGGGTTTTGCGTTATCTTGCTAGTACATCGGGCATGGGGTTAGTGCTAGGAGGACGCAGGCCAGTGGTCCTTACTGGACACACAGACGCTTCGTGGGCAGACGATGCCAAGACACTCAGGTCTACCCAGGGCTACTGCTTCAGCCTTGGCTCAGGTGCCGTCTCGTGGAGAGCTACCCGCTCCTTGTCTGTTGCCCAGTCCAGCTGTGAGGCTGAGATCTATGCTGGTGCCATGGCGGCACAGGAGCTCCACTGGCTGACCTTCTTGCTCACTGACTTAGGTGAGCGGCCTAGCTCTGCCCCGGTCCTGTTCGCTGACAACAGGGCCATGATCCTCCTGTGTCAGGAGCCTCGACTCGAGGGCAGAGCGAAGCATATTCAGCTGCGATACTTCCTCCTGCGCGAGCTACAGCAGCGACGCCAGGCTCGCGTAGTACACTTGGCCTCAGGTGCCAACACAGCTGATATCTTTACGAAGGCGCTTGCGCCTAAAGATCATCAGCGGCACTGTGTACACCTTGGTCTTGTTCCTGTAGCTTCTCATTTGCTAGGGCCATGATTGTGTACTCTCTACTATATGTACCTGTCTGATTGGCCTTGTGGCCTTACCTCCAGTGGCTGGACTAGTAGTGCCGCCCTGGTCTTGTTCTTGCCTTGTCTCAACTCCGTCTGACTGGTGTTTTAGACCCTTGTCTCAGAGGTTGGACTAGTAGTGCCGCCCTGAGCTGCTTGTTCAGGTCATTCCCCTATGCAGTCTAGGGGGTGTGTCAAACATAAGTATAACTCATGTTTGTATAGACTGTATAGGGTCGCCTCTTAGAGGGTACAACACTCTTAGGTATATACCCTTGTACTCTCTCTCTATTCAACACTTCTTCAGTTCTAAGACCGAGGGCCTTGAAAAGCCGGTCGGGGACTCCAACATCAACGGCGACCGTCGCAGCTGCCTTGCGGAAAGAATGGGTGCCCAAGAGGGCTGGGTTGAGGCCGACATGGGAGAAAGCATCTCGACACCA